TAATTTATAGTTGGCTATGGCCTACCTTGAATAATTGTACCATGCATGTATTTAACTTTTGAGGTGAATAATATCGTATGCACAAGGTGTATTAATAAGATAACCTTATCATGACAGCTGATGGTAACATATGTCAAATATAATTTTGTTATTTGGATTCGCTGTAGGAAAATACAATACAAATTAATTTTATGAAATATTTAACAACTAGTTAACAATGCGGTATATTTGGACAGATCCACTGGTATATGTATGTACGTCATAAAATTATGTTTTTTCTTGCTATCGTGAATGTTCACTAATTTTGTGGTGCTCTGTCCTCGTTTAAAAAATATGAAATTTCTAACAATATAATCTGTGTTTGTGTGGTAACAGTGCCTAAAATAGTTGTGAAATACTTTTTGTGCATTTTGATCTAATGAAATTTAACATATTTTCGCTAATATTAATTAATCTTTTTAATTCTAATTGGCATTTTGTTTCCATTTTGCAATTTGTTCATTTGTTGCATTAGCTTATATAGTTGTTGTAACATTTTTTATTTTGTTTTGTTATTTTGACATTTCAAAACAGAGTTGCCAAATTTTGTGTTTCATAAGAAATTCAAGGGATATATATTCCAGAAAATCCATAAATTAAATTAAAAAAAATATATATTATTTAAAAATGGTTTGTCCTTACGAATTATGTAATATTTCTGTAGATGGTGAGTTGTGTGCCACATGCTGGTTTTGCCTTAATCAATGGCACGTTAAATGTGCTCGAATTAATGCAGAAGTAGTAGACACGACTTGGGATAATGTTGGTGTCCGTTGGTGCTGTCGAAAACTCTCAGCCGATTTTTATAACTTTGTAAAAGACTTGCAATCGGAGCTTGGTTTGATGAAAAAGAAATTTACATCGTTATCAAAACGTTTCGAGAATTATTCCAATTTGTTCGAAAAGTACCAAGAGCTTGATGAATTTGTATCATCACCGTCTGTGTCTGGACAGAAAAGCAAAAGGTCTGCGAAAAAGGCTCCCAATAAAGTCGTGGCTAGTCGCAAACCCACAGTTTCTTTTGAGAATACAGTGCCATAATCACCATCCGTCAATATCACAGATACAACGGAAACTGATTGTGTCCAGACTTATGTTAGTGTTGCGTCACATTCGGCTTCGGAAATCGTTAAGGATGTAAATAAAGTGATTAATCCAAAATCTGTGAGTATTAGTAGTGCTAGTCTGGAAAATACTTCAAAACCTACTCACGGAAATCGGGAATCAGTAGTTCAAACATCTAATGCGTCTTCCGTAGCTGTCACTAGCAATTCCCTCCAACCTGGTCAAAGACCATTATCTATGGCTCCCGCCATGAAAATGGTATTTATATAAAATCAAATATCGATAGAAATTTCTTTCTACGTTGTTATAAGCTTCGGTCTGCATTCTCAGAAAGTAGATCATCTTTTAAAATCGTAGTAAAAGAAAGTGTGTTTCATCGACTAATTTCGAGAGAATTTTGGCGTGCTAAGGCATTTGTTAAGTCTGCTTTTCCACAGGCAGATTTTTATTTGGCAATTTTTTTGTTTTCTCTTTTGAAATATTCGCTTGCTTTTCCATTAGCAAATTTTTCTTTGCCAAATTTGCGAATCAAAATACAAAAGAAAGAAAATAAAGCCAAAAGTGTTTACATTTTAAAGATTTTTTTTAATATTTTATTTATTTTTTATATATTTTATTATATAAATTGCAAAAATTAAAAATCAAATTTCACTTGCACAAATTAAAGCAACAGGTTTGTAAACAAAAGCCGGCTGTGTGTCAGTAAAGCGAATAGGTTCAAAAGGAAATGTCAATAAAATTGTTTTCAACGAACAGAGCAAAGCAGAATTAGTGTGTACGGCAAATTCTGAACAGGCAAATTTTTGTTTTTCTTCCTCGCACCCCTCTCGCCTACAAACTCAGTATTTGCCAAATAAAAATTTGCCTGTGGAAAAGCAGACTAAGGAATTTCTGGAAAGATCCGAAAATTTAGCTCATTTACCTCAGAGGGCTGAAATATTGTCAAAAATACTAAATATAATCCTCAATGCTTGCTATCAGAATGTAAGAGGGTTAAACACTAAATTAACGCGATTATTCTCTGATAGCCTTGGTTTTAGTTAGGAGGTTATAGTATTTTCTGAAACTTGGTTAAAAGCAACCGTGTTAAATATCAAATATTTAGAAAAGATAGAGTTGTTAGAGAAGTTGGTGGGGTCCTTATTGCAGGCGATTCCAAATATTCCACTAATTTATTTGAATTAAACTGTTTTGATATCGAATTTATTTACATATCCATTGAATTAAAAATTTTTAAATTATTTGTAACTTGCTCATCTTGATATTTATAATCAGCATGTGCCAGCAATAAATTCAATCACTAACAAAATGAATGACTCTGACAGTATGTACTCCCGAAGATAACTGCCATCCTACATTATGCATATCCATGATTCATAATAATGTTGCTACCAACAATTCTTCAATGTCATTTAAATCTGTTCCTAATTATAATAAAACGGACTTCCGAAAGCTAAGCACACTTATCTCAACCGTAAATTGGACCTCATTATTTATTTGTGAGAGTCATAGTGATCTATAATTATCAGTATATAAATTTTATGATATTTATGATATCCTAATAGAATGTGTTCCTACTGTTAGAGTTAGAAACTCGGAAAGATATCCATGGGTCATATCTGGGCTTTCAAGTATTGAAAATTGTAAAAATAAACTTTTTAAAAAATATAAAAAATCAGGCTCCTCTATAGATTATGCAAAATATGCAAGGTTTCAATATACGACAGAGTCCCGAAAACTTTACAATCTTTATTTAAAAAATTGTCTTGGGGAGGCATTCTCGGCCATACACGCTACCGTAACTGAGTGTCGTTGGTTAAACACGCCTTCTCTTTTTTCTCTATTCTTCAGTCGTGTTTAAAGATGTTTTCTCAGTTACGCTCACCGGTTGCACATTTGTTTACACTACGGTTGTTGCTCCGAACCATGATGCAATAATAAGGTGGTGTATCAAAACAAAAACCTTTGTTTTTGTCTCGATCATCTGTCAAATTTTTCCATATAATATTTCTCATGGCTGGCAACACTGCACATCGAATTCAAGTAGAAATTACCCACTTTGACACCTAATCAAGACATCAGCTGCGCTAAATGGACTACCTACTACTTCTTCCGGAGTTTCCAGCTCCCTTCAACCGACTGTCTTGGGAATCAATTAAAGTAAATGGGTGCTATCATTTTAAACGTCGCTTCAAATTATTTACTGTCCCCGTAACTATGCTTTAAAGTGTAGAATAAAATTTTGTGTCGTTCTGTGGCCGACGACGTTTGGTAAACAAAATCGTTCAATGAACGACAATAATAAACATTGAACTGACTCGATCAATTGATATAGGTCGTTCACGCACGTCACAAGGCTATTAAACAAGATTAAACATAATTTCATACCCAGTCATGTACATTAGAAATTTTTGCAAGGTTAACCTACTTTATGAGGATTTATTTGACAAATATGTAATGGAATTGACAATTAAAACCACTGGGTTAACTTAGTTCGGTACAATGTAAACGTACTATACATATTTTAATGTTATATTTTTATATATAAAAAGAAAAGCTACGTCAAAGTCCACCATTTTGAAATTCAATAATCAGATATTTGAGAAAATTTCAGAATGCTTCGCAAATTTTTTCGCTACAACATATTCACATTCACCCTGTGCAACACACAACAGTGGGAAAGGTGTGGTATTGTTTGTAAATGCCTTGTTAACCTCGAAGTGAGGCTCCAGCGAAATTCTCATGCAGTTTATGTCGTTGGTGAAAGGTTTTATGTATAGAAGCAATAGCTTTTGGTGAGAATATCCCAACAAAAAACTAAGGGAACTGATGAGGATCAGTGGCGTGATCCGAAACTATAGTCTTCCCTGCCTTATTCCTCGGCAAACAATGCCATACATTCCCCACTAATAAATAGTTGTTTTTTTATAAAAACAACAAATGGGATTCAGCCTGACTATTTTACAAAAACAAAATACAAATGGTATCCCAAATAAATCGCCAACACTACTGAAATTTATTAATATTTTTAGGTTCCCTGCCTATAAAACCTATAAATATAAATTGCAACGTTCTTAGTTAAATCTTGAGAATAATGTGGAGCTTTAGAAATAATATATTTTTTAATTTGTTTAAAATTTGCCAATCGCCATGCGTAATATTGTATGGAATTCATTTTATTTGAAATTGATATATGAATTCTATATTAAGATGGGTTGCCATTATCAATTTCACAAATGAATACTTGAATTCGATGTGCAGTGTTGCCAACCAATCGAAATATTATATGGAAAATTTTGACAGATAATTGGGACAAAAACAAAGGTTTTTGTTTTGATACATCTTCTTATTGTTGCATCATGGTTATGGGTAGAATCATGATGCAATAATAAGGTGATGTATACCAACAAAAACCTTATTTTTTGTCTCGATTATCTGTCAAAAATTTCCATATAATATTTCAAAATCGAATTCAAGTAGAAATTACCCACTTTGACAGTTAATCAAGACATCAGCTGCGCTAAATGGACTACCTATTCATTGTGCCATGGGTAGAATGCTATAAAACCATTAAAGTATGCTTTTGCGACATCTAGGAATTGAATGGAATACTATGAGAAATGTTTTCGTTTGCCGAATACAATAATTGAACAAGCTTCCATACTGATAAAAGCGCTATTTAAATACACTAAACGATTGTATTTGCTCGTAAACAAATGCTTGTTTGAAGTGTCTATACTTTTTTCTATGTAAAATACGGTGACTCCAGTAATATTGGGTGCTGCTAAAAATATCTTCAAATTTAAACTTATTTTTATAAAGCTTGTTAATAAATTTATAAATTTGGTGGGCGATTATAACTAAATACAATTGCTTTTCTGTTATAAGAGGACTGATTTGTTTGTCCAATATAAAGCAATGTTCAGTATAAGTGAACTATGTTGTATGTTTTGCTGCCCGCCCTGTCCTGGGCCGATTGCTGCTAAGTTGGCATTTCAACCTCCAGACCCAACATATAAATTAACACCAGCAGACGGAAATAACACGAAATATAACATACAGTTTTTTGATAGGGCGGAGTGGCAATATTCAGAAAGGGATAAGTCCAAAGTGGAAGCATTTTTTACCCGAACCTCTCGTGGCAACCTGATAACATGTATATATGTTCGTTGCAGTAAGAACGCAAAATTCACTCTGCTGTTTTCACATGGGAATGCGGTTGACCTGGGACAGATGAGCAGTTTTTACATATCACTAGGTTCACAACTAAATTGTAATATTTTTGGATATGATTACTCCGGATATGGAATGAGCGGGGGTAAGCCGTCGGAAAAAAACCTGTATGCTGATATTGAAGCGGCATGGCAATCAATGAGGACCAGGTATTTTTGTTTAAATGTACTCTGTATATGTATCTATGAATATTTACTGTTGTAGATTTAATATCAATCCTGAATCCATTATTCTCTATGGACAAAGTATTGGCACTGTACCTACTGTAGATTTAGCAACGAGGCATGAAGTCGGAGCTGTAATACTTCATTCCCCACTCATGTCGGGCCTTAGAGTTGTTTTTAGGAACACAAAACGGACATGGTTTTTTGATGCATTTCCTAGGTAAGATTGTGTTTATTTGTATATGGGACAAAGTTATTTAAAACAAGTTGCTATCATGCCTTTCAAGACTGTTCCACATGGACCATAAAATTTTATTCTTTGTCCCATATATAATTATACAATATAAATAGTCTAATTAACAGTAGCATATCACAGCATTGACAAGGTTTCAAAAGTAAAGTCTCCCGTTTTGGTTATACATGGAACTGAAGATGAAGTAATCGATTTTTCCCATGGAATTGGTATTTACGAAAGATGTCCAAAAGCTGTTGAGCCACTTTGGGTAGAGGTAAGCTTTTATATACAAGTTTTTAACATGACCTGAATGTCCTGGTGAGTTAAACTGAAAATATACACTTTCAGATGTTATTTAAAGCACTTCAGTGGTAATTCGAGAAATGCATTTGTAATTAAAAAACTTTTCAATTGTAATTCGAGTATTTATTTGGTAGTTCATAACATTTCCAAATGACATATCGCTCATTTGCTGAAAGAAGGCATAACTCAAAAAAAAAAAAAAAAAAAAAAACGATTTTGCAGAAAATGCGTTTTATATGGGACGGAGGAACTTCTACAGCTTCTTAATTAGAGTGTGTAGAAGATATTCATATGCATTTTTACACAACGAAAATCGAAAATCACGTTTTTTGAGTTATGCCTTTCTTGCAGCAAATGAGCGATATGTCTTTGGAATAAATCGAATTGACACAGTAGGTTTGTGCGATAACACACACACCATAGGTGCCCTTCAGCATATGAAGTAGTATTAGTAATTTTATGCCTCTTTGAGAATGTATGTGTGAGAATTTCATGCAGTATGTAAATCAAAGTAGTTTTGATTTTAACAATGAACTCCTTTCAATCCGATGAATTTTGTTACTTTTCAAAGTTGTAAAAGGCCCACACACTATACATCATTCCGTCATGCCGATGAACCCCTTTGTATATGTGTGTGATTGACTAGTGTGTGCCAAACTCTTCAATCATTATTCCAAAAAAAAATTATTTTAGTCCAAAAAAATCACATTTTGTGTCGTAAATTCAGTTATTTTTTATTTCCACCAACGCATTATTCTGTCGCTAGTAATTCCACATCATTACTGGACTTTTTTGCGCTGAGTAATGAAGATACACTTGTTTTATCCACTGGTTACTGGAATATCCGACCATGCTTTTATATTTCTGTCTCTTAACATCTCCGTTACATGTGTGGATCAATACATTGAGTACATTGATTATAATTCAGTGCGTCATGATGTTTGGCATGGAGCCCTATCATCATTTGATTCATGTCTCAATTTGCTTCTCTCTTTGTTCCCTACTAAGAAAAGAAGGTTAATCAATAATGCTAATTCTAAAGGGCCCCATACACTATACATCATGCCGTACATCATTTATCATAGTATGTGTTATTTTTTGAAAGTTTATTTATATATGTGTGACACACACAATGCATGATGAAAATCAAAATAGTTTTGATTTTGAAAATGAATCCCTATCAATCTGGTGAATAATATTCATTTCGAAAGTTGTCAGTAAATCATTTTGTGTACAGAAATAATAGTATTGTGACGGAATAAAAAAAAAATGAATTTACGACTCAAAATGCAATTTTTGGGACAAAAATCGATTTTTTGGAATAGTGATTGAAGAGTTTACCATACACTAGTCAATCTCACATATACACAAAGGGGTCATCGGCATGACGGCATGATTTATAGTGTATTGGGCCCTTAACAATGATTGGTATGGGTCCTCTGAAATTTGTTACTACAACTCCATTAGAGATTTAGCATTTGAAGAGTATATGCGCACAAGGAGTTTAGTGGATTGGAGAAATTTTTGCAAGTCCCGTAATAGGGCTAAATCTGTCGTCAGAAAGGCTAAGAGTATTGCTCATTCATCACTGTTTGAGGGCCAAAGAAGTAATAAGGAATTGTGGAACATACTTAAGTCACTTTCTGCACTTGGTTAATAAAGTATTAACCTTTTCAATTTTTCCTGTTAGCTGGAAGTTAGCGAAGATTGTTCCAGTAAAAAAGAAAAATGTTGTTGGTGCGGCGCAAGAGTATCGTCCGATTTCGGTGTTACATAAATGTTCCAAGGTAGTTGAACATATTTGAAAGTCCCAGATTATGTCGTATTTGCAGCGCAACAATATGCTTAATGGGAACAAGTTGAGTTTAGGGGATCATCTCGGATTTTTCTGAAATTTTTGTCACAGGTAGATCTCGTCTCCCTGATCACGAAAATATATGAATTTCATGGGGGATGTCCATAATCCCGAGATATGGACCTCTGAAGTTCCGGAATTCCTATGCTCATAACTTTGTTATTTATGAATCGGTGAAGGTAATATTGGTATGATTGTAAAGCGTACACATTATATTTTCTTTTTTAAAAATTATCAAAAAAAAAAAAAAAAAAATAGCCGGCCTTCGGCCGGGGATTTAAGACTTTCTCCTATGGACAGGCGGAAAATTCGGCTAACGCATCAACAATATTTTTTAAACTAATTTTTTCTACATAGCCGGCCTTCGGCCGGGTATTTAAGACTTTCTCCTATGGACAGGTGGAAAAATTGGCTACGCGATTAAAATTTCCTTTATATTAAAGTTTTTCTTATATAGCCGGCCTTCAGCCGGGGATTTATGACTTTCGCCTATGGACAGATAGAAAATTCGGCTAACGCATCAACATTTTCCTTTTAAATAAACATGTTTCTCTAAATATCCGTGAATATTACCATTATCGGCCCATAAATGTCGAAGTTATGAGCATATGCATTCCGGAACTTCAGAGGTCCATATCTCGGGAAATATGGGTTTCTCCCATGAATGTCATATATTTTCGTGATCAGGAAGACGAGATCTACCTGTGGTAAAAAAATCAGAAAAATCAGAGATGAGCCCCTAAACTCAACTTAAGCCCACCGTAAGTTATTCAGTGTTACTCCCACAAAGTTCTATAAAAAATTGGGAACAAGTCTAGTTTAGGGCCCCCTCCCGGATCGTTTTGAAATGTTTACCACATGTAGTGGAAATCGGTATTTCCGGAGATATGGGCCTCCAAAGTTCCGTTGGGACCCTTGTATTTTCTCATAATTTTTTAAAATTCACTAAGGCAATATGGGTATCGTTTTCTGGTAACCCCCATACAAAGGTACACCCAGTTTGAGTATTTAGCGAAAAATTGGCTATAAACTCATTTACTGGCGAACCAATGGACATAGGCGGCCAAAATTTGGCTCAGATGGTTTTTATATCAATACATCTACTGGTATGGGAAATGGGTCTGGATCCAAGTTTTGATATAGCCCCCATATAATCGTACCTCCCGATTTATGTTAGTTTTGTCTATTAGACACATTTTACAATCAAACTGGCTGCACCCTTCGGTATTTACCCGGTAAATACCACCTCTAGTAATCGGTAATTGTTATGCCTTTGCAACGAAACCAGGTTTGCAGTGAAAACAAAAATAGTAGATTCTTGCAGTACGGGAACAGACCAATTGTTTCTTAACTGGGAAACCATGTCCATAATGTTTTTGTGAATAAACTTCAAACATATGTCATTTACACTGACTTTAGTAAAGCGTTTGACACTGTAGCACATCACCTATCATTGTATAAATTGGACATCATTCTTAAAATGGATATCTTATTACCTACAAAACCGTACACAAAAAGTATTATCGAATGAAATTTTGTCTAAGAACATAACTGTTACTTCTGGTGTTCCACAAGGCAGTCACTTAGATCCTATATTATTTGTTCTGCACTTAAATGACCTCCCATCAGCTATTACAATGTCAAGAGGGCTAATGTTTTTGCAAATCTAAATTCTCCAAACCAATATATTTATTTGCAAATTGATCTGTCCTCCCTTGCAAGTTGGTGTAGCTTCAATGGCATGTCTCTGAATATCATTGCAAATTGTATAGGTATGTGTGAGACTAGTACTCAAATCTAATTCGGCCCACACACGTCAAACATGTGCGTTCCATCGGTGCGAATGAAATTAAAATAATTTTATTAAATAAAACAGTTCGGTCTTTTTTACGTCGTCACTATCGCTGTCCATCTTCAATCTTTAAAAACCAAATTAGAAATGAAGTTTTGTTGATTCGTTGGTGACGTGTGTGGGTCGCTTAATCGTAACCACAAAATGATGCGCACCACCATAGACATGTTTACTCGTTGAAGTCTCAACGACGACTAAACAAATGGGCGTAAGAATCCGTGTGAGTTGAGCTGACCGCTAGAGTGTAAGGGCGTGCATCCTTGGTCTAAAGTTCGATGATCCCTATGTGATCAAACGTCTCTTTGTCACTCTAGTTCGACTTTTCATCAACACATATTTATGGCAGGATTGGTGTTTGGATTTATGTTGAACTAAAGCGGGAAATCCAAAGAATTTCTTAAGGCTAAAGTTCCAGTTTTTTTGTTTTTTACTTTTTGGGGAGAAGTTTTTACCACCTCCAGATCTCATAATAATTTCCTCCAGAGGAGGATGCCAAGTTAAGAAAACCGACAAATATCACATATAAGTTCTTTTCATCCACACCCATGCACAGAATCCATATCGACATTGTTGATGCTTACTGAGATTGTCAAAGTCTCAATAATTGTAAAGTTAACCGAAATGTTTTCACGTTATGGAAATTGTGATACGTACAACGGCACACAAGTTGTCATAGAAAAGTCTAACGAATTCATAATAATAAATCCAATAATTTTAAATTTTCTTCATATCACCCTCAATCAAATGGGCCAGCAGAAAAAAATTATTGGAACATTCTAAAGAGCCATGAAAAAAACTAATAGATTAGTGATGACGAAATTTCAAAATCTGCTGCTGAATCGTTTCTTAATCGAAATATCAAGACAACACTCAATTTATTAAAGCCACATAATCATATGAAGGACAAACAACACAATGTCAAAACAATAGTTCAACAAAAAGCATGGAGCAAAGCGGAGATGCTTCAAAGCAAAATATCTTTTTTATGCTGAACTTATAGGAATCAGAGACAAATTTGAATTCTCAGAGAAATGTTTATGAAGGTCAGAACACAAAGCTCATACGATCTAACATGGTATCTCAGATTCTACAACAGACTCCATTCAAATAATGATGGACGTTTTTGGTATATAACTCCAGACTTAATCTGCAGCAAGTTCAGAATTGTGAACATGTAGATACCTTACATGACTCCTCTAGCCTTCTTGATGAAGATGGGACACGGTCGGCTGTAATGTTTAATAGCCCCACAACTTCATCTCCTCCACCA